AGAGTCAAATTATAAAAAATACTACTTGCAATATAGTTTCCAAATTCAAAATACAATGACATTCAATTATTTATTAAAACATACATATGACCATGTATATACATATATGGGGTTGGTGGCAGTGGAGGAGTAGTTTTCATATTGTAACGTGTACTATTTTAATTATGGCTGACTTTAACGAAACGAATTTCCCACTAGCTCTTGATATTTTTGGCGGGCTCAAACCTTCAGCCTGCCCATAATGGAGTCGTGTGCATTGATGATCACGTGTCTGGGCAAAAGCTTTCTTCATCGACGACGGTGAATTATGCACACTAGGAGTAGTGTGCACTTCATTGGATGTATACGGTGGCGGATGAATGTCATAGAGACAGTAAGCGTCAGCACAGGAAGTGCCAATAAGATGTTGTCAATATTGACTGATTATCTATGAGGCGGTAGCCGCACAAGCGAACACACACACGCACACTTTGCTAAATCCAAGAACTTGCGACAAATGTTTTACACTGCAACATATCCTTTATTGCAAAGGAAAGGCAAGCGAAGGATTCTTGTGTGAGTGTGGGAGTGTGTAACGGCTTTACAAAGCTACCAACAGTGGCATTAACAAAACAAAGTAATCCACATCGGCAGCATCATAAGCAACGTCATCATCGACATCATCCTTGACGTTGTCCGCCCTAATGAAAGCGGAAGAATAAACATTGCAACCGCTGTGATTTTGAGAAATTGTATTGATGTCGACAGGATGAAGCCATAAATTTCTCAATTCGATCCATGCGGCTGTTATAAAAGTCAGAACTATGAATTGTGCACTATTTGGTTTTGTGAGTATGTGTGTAGTGCCACTCGGTTATGGCTTTAATGTGCTGCTGTATTTGGTAAAGTCCGGTTGTTGTTTCGAGTAATGTTGTTTCATTCCAATCTATAGGAAATTGCAATTTCTCAACGAAATTTAGTGCCAGGAAGTCGGAAGGCATATACTGAAGCAATAGATATGTTTATTGGAGTAAGGACAATGGAAAGGAAAACTTCGCATTTGCAGTTTCAGAATAAAACTAAGAAGATAGGATATTGAATAGTTATTTTCGATATTCTTGAATCTGTCAAAATATTTAACTTATTCTTCTACATCTACTATAGCTAGTCCGGCTTGGCAGATCTTTAAAGGTGGACTATGTCAAAACATAGATTTATATTATTTTTTTTTTAGTCACTGACAAAGTGAATTTGTACCGATAATATTTCCAAGAAGATTCCCCCATAACCAAATTATTAGGGAATTTTGCAAGACAGTCAGTAGCGAATCGATGAGTTGCCTATAAATAATGACGAGTCAGAGTCAACATTTAGATTTAGCTTTCGGGTACCGAATTAAAAATTTAATATAACACTATGCAATGGTGGGGTGCCGTCAACTAGCCTCTGAGTCCCAATTTTTCCGTGTCTGTAGAACTATTTCCTATAATCAAATTTAATGCAAATATGCAAAAATTTGACGTCACTACAATATTGCATTCCGCAGATAAAATATATTCTTTGTGAAAAATGAAATTTCGGTATCAAGAAAAGCAAAGGGAAAAAACACTTTCAATTATTATTTACGATTTTTTACAAAGCTTAAAAATTAGTTTGAATCAAGGTGTATTTAATAAGATGCATGCATCAAATACAACAACAAATATTTTACAAAAACAACATTGTTGTTAAAGAAATTAAATTGTCATCCTGACAATGAGTTTTTGACAAAAATAAATAAAAAACAATTATTAATTTATTTTTGTCAAGAACTATTCTTTGAGGAATAATTAATGAATTTGTGTATTCTTGGTTTATTGGCGGTTTTAGGTTATAACTGAGCCCAGGTTTCTTGAATGAATGTAGTTTTCTTGAATGTTTATAATTAAAAAAGCCTCAATTTAAAGACCATTTTGAGAAAAAAGTTTGAAACCATATGATTGTCACTTACACCTTATTAAATACACCTTGGTTTGAATATACGATTAATAAAATACAAATTCAAAAGGATTTGAATAATTCAATATACACTGGTGGCCAAAAAATTAGAACACACAACTTTTTCAAAAATAAAGATATTGTATTGACTTTTAAAGGGAATTGTCTCAATTTTGCTTGGACAAAACTAAAGCAACTATACTGTGCAAATAGATGAGTTTTTTGTTATAATTACCATGTTTTGATTTCTACAACAATTTAGATTCCTGTAAATAATTTCTAAAGGATTTTATCACAACAAATTGTGTCTTTTTTCAATTTTGACTTACTGCCAAATATATAAAAATGGCTAGAATCAAATACAGTACACCGATAAAAATGCTAATTACCAGTGACTGTGAAAATAACTTGTCAAAGAAATTATTTTGGAGAAATATTCGAAAAATACAGGGTGAGATAAAAAAGCTGCAACAAAGTTAAACGCAATAATTTTTACATTGTTTTTTAAATTTTATTGAATGAAAGCAAAAAATATTGGAAATAGCATCAAATTTTAGAATAAGTTTAGATTTGTTCGAATTGGTAACCTTTGGCACGAATTATGACCTTTACGGCCAATGAAACCGTCACACGCTTCCCAAATGTTGCTCTGCGGTATTTTGGACCATTCCCGGAGCGAAGCGCTTGCTTGAGGTGATCGACACTTTGGTATTTTTAGTGCCAACCTTGCTTTCCAAAATACTCCAGACACAATAGTCCAACGGATTGGTATACGGAGATTTTTTGGCCATTGTGCGTTGGAAATGAAGTGAGGAACCTCATTTGTAACCATTCTTGGGTGGCGCGTTCTGAGTGCGATGGTACTGAATGTCCACGTTGGAATGTCCAAGGTCTGCGGCTAAAATGTTTGCGTGCCCAAGGCTTTATACACCCTCCAGAATATTTTCGCCATAACATTCGGCATTTATTCTAATGCGACGCGAGTTTCGATCAAGTAGCTCCATTACTTTTCGAACCATTTCTGCTGATGTTGCTGTTTTCTTCCGTTCACTTCCTTGACGTCGGGCTCCGCTCGCAGTATCACGGCAACGAGCGATGGTGCGAGACACAAACGATTTATTCACATTTAAATGCTGGAGTGCTCTAACTATAGCCACTTGTGGTTTTCCAGCCAAATATAAAGAAATTTCTAGGATCCTTTCGCTGAAGTAAATATACAGTTTGTTTAGGTATTTCAGCTTGACAATATCCTCAAGCATGCACCGAAACAAGTCAAAGAATGATTGTGGGAATCAAACATGAGGGTTTTACAATCATCAGATCTTAATCCTATAGCAAAATCTTTGGAGTTTTATGTAAAGCAAAATAAAAAAGGGGTTTCACTAACGAACGGACATAACCTCTTCCCAAAGGTTCAGGATGCGAGGAATAGTATACCCATGGATCAAATTTAGCATTTTATTGATTCAAAGTCTCGTAGATGTGCTGCCGTAATCCAAAATAATGGCTAAGCTGTCGTTTACTAGCAAAATTTGCTTATAAGAAAAAATCAAAAGTTGCTTCAGTTATGACCAAGCAAAAATTGAGTCAATTTAGTTTTCAATAGAATATTTTTTTAATTTCAAAATAAATTTTGCGTTTAAATTTTCTGTTCTATAAAAGTGAATAAATTTACCGATTTATTTCTGAAAAAAGAAACTTTCACTATATTTTTTTTAAAAAAAGTTTGAGGTCATTTATTCAGTTTGCAATTTCCAGTACCCCACACAACTATGTTGTCAGGGTATTATAGCATTGAGTAATCCCAAGAGCCATTAAAACCGCGAAATATTGGCTGTAGACCCACCTTTTAGTATACCGATCTCGATTAGCAGAGTCGATCTATACATGTTTCTCTAATGGAAAATATATAAAAAAACTAAAATTAGAAGAATAGTGATCTATGCCAACAGCTTTCAAAATGTTTATTAGCTTATAGAATGCAAATATATAACGGGTGGAATGTTGAGGCATAAATATAATTTATATTTGATTTTAACATATGGAAGAGGCACAACAAATGGCAGTTATTGTAAAAGTAGCTGCTACAACGAGATTCATTCAAAAAAACCAAAACCAGCTGGTATTGTTTGCTATGTTTTTTTTCTTCTTTTAGAAATTTTGTGACACACTCTCTGTTTGAAAAGGCTAAGATATAGCTAAGATATTGCGCCTAAATTATTTTTATTTAGAAGGGAAGGTGACGATTATACCCTTCAGGTTTTTGGTTTCATAATTCGTCGTGCAATTAATACCAAAAATATAAATATAAGATTCGCGCAAAAGACTAGCGGAACCACTTCCACTTCAACCGTTCAAAATTTTTTGTTGTATAAACACGAAACAAACAACATTGAAAAATATCCGATTTTATGGAATTACAAAATTGCAATTTTTAGGAATGTCTTTAGCTAGTTCAAAGGAGATTTCTGGACACAGAAGTTTTGAGCTCTTATCAGTTTGTTAAAGAAGAATTCTAACATTCGAATTTCACCAACATATATTCAGATAAACAATTCAATTCGGATTATTATGGACCTTACAGCACATGAAACACATTTCAGCAATCGCTCCGTTCGATGTTCTCTCGCATGAATAATGTTTTCAGAGTCTCACAATAACAAACCCATGCCCGCCTTCTACTATACATACCAGACGAACAAAAAACTCTTGGTTGATAAGGGAATATGACTGGAGACTGAAATCACTCGTTGTGGTGAAAACATTTCGAATAATATCCATTGCGAGTAAATAAATCAGTAGTTAATTACAAACATCGGTCGCGTTAACATCTGCTCGATAGTATACCGAATTTCCACTTAATCCGATATATTTAGTATTGAAAGATAATGATAGATGTAGTTAAAATGTACCGGTTTATTTTCATATTCGCAATAGGCATTGCATGTCTTCCGAGTGGCAGCAATGGCGCACCAAAAATTCGTTTACGTTGCGAGAGACCAGGAAACCTGCCAAACGGATCTTACCGCATTAAACAAGCATCAATGAGAGTAAATTGCAATACCGGATATGAATTGCAAGGACCCAAACTGATCGTTTGCGTACAAGGCAAATGGGATGCAGAGAAACCTGTGTGTGCAAGTATGTTTCACAATTGCAACAATTATGTCCTTAGAGAGTAAAAAGTAATGCCTAAGCGGAAGTCGTAACAATCTCCATTCCGTGACAACTCATTCTCTAACAATGAAGCGGTTCTTTTACAAGTGATACCATTAGTGATAACAGACATACATTGTTCGCTCAAAAACAAATGCGGTCCACACAGTGCCTTCAGATAAACAATGTGGAAGTGAAGGTTGTTTCTTGGAATGAGAAAAACAATATTAAGAAAGAGAATACAATAACAATGAAATCATAGTCATGACCCTTGGAAACCCCCAGAATTTGTATTTTTTTGATTAGGTTATCAGCTCGAAAATGTGACCTTGTCAAAAATTAACTGCCAATAATTCTCGTCAAAATATCATATTTTAGAGGATATTATCGGTATAACAATATACATACATATCATACAACATATTGTGGTTCAAGCTGTTATGTGTTTGGATATTTGCTACTTGCCAATGGAGTCCAGTCTCTGCAAATATACTCCTTTTTCAAGCAATCAATAAAGGAGAAGGAAGTTGTAATGTTTATTTATTAGAATAAAGATTTACATATTTATTATGTGCTGCGTAAGAATGCAGCTCATAATCAAAATTGCTTACAACGATGGACAAGGGACCGGCAAAAAGGGTCGCTACAAGCGATATGTAGTTTTAAACCATATCAAATGAAGGAAAAGTCGTTTCTCTATACTTTAAATACAGTCGTTATAACCGATATGTCGTTATAAACAGTGTCGGTATAAACGATTTCAAATGTAGTTATAAACGTAGTAATTTGTATGGTAAAAGTTATTCGCTATTCGCACAGTTCGTTATAAACGAATTCAACGGCCCGTTAAATAATTTTGTTCAATTGCGATACACCAATGGCTTCCTGCATTTGCGCATAGATTTTTGATGGACACATAATACGTAATTGATATCAATTTCTAAAAGAAGTGGATTTAAAGCCTTTATATGTTAAGGCAGCGAACTATGTGATTATTTGGACTTACCGTCTTTACACATCACTACAAAACAACAATAAATGAGAGAACTGTATAGTTATTTTTGTTTAATAGATGTATTTTTATTTATTGAGCCTATGTGCTTTAAAATCTCAATTTCGAGAAAAAATTGACTTCATAAACTATTTTCTCAAAATGCACCTTGTAGCGTTTTTACGATTTTTTATGTCTTTGCTTTATATTTTTGATTGGAGTTTGCCTAAAATATGTATATACATATATAATTTGTGTCTAAAACTATTTACAAGGCTTTGTTCCAGAATATTTCTTAAACCACAAAACAATAGAAAAGCACAAAACTAAAAAAAAGCAAACCGCATGTTACGCAATTCGCTTAGAACAAGGTCAAGTCGCACTGTAAACGAATCAAGGTTCCTAATGTTTTGATGTTGTTTATCGCATTAGGTATAAATACGACTCATACCGTTTGACAGTGCTTTCGTAAATTCAGAATTCTTTTTTGTGTTCCTTCCTGATTTGTGGCTAAACTACACTACGCACGCACATGTGATCAGTGACTACGTTGCAGAATACCCCATGGACATTATGGTTCTAATGTATGATTTTTCGATATAATCACTGCATCCACCCAGAATGAATGTGCTCACCGTAGCTTCTTTGCAATTGGTTTCCAAAGACGAAAATTTGATGCGTAAATTTTTACAAAAAACATTTTTTTTATTTTGTATTGATGAGTAAAGGCGCTAAGTCCAATTCATCACATGTCACTGAATTAACATAATGTAAAGGCTCTAAGTCCACTTTTATATTGAGGATTTTGGACATGATTTTCAGCCGAATTGACTGTAGTTTGGTATTTTAGGTACTTATGGGGTAGCACACTTTCCAACAAAAAATGACCAATATTGGTCTACTTTTTAGGATACCACCCTTATAAGGTTATCCCCAGTATTCTAAATTTTGGTAGGTTTGGGTACGTTTTTCAAACGAATTGGCTGTACTTTAATATTTGGGACTTTAATTGGATACAAAATCTACCTTCCATATAAAAGTTCCAATTGATTTTAAAAATTTGACTGTGCGCCTTACGGTGATGAGTATAAAATGTTCGACCCTGTCGAATTTAACGAAATTTTATTAGTTTTTATTCATATTTTTGAATAATTATGATTCCAAAACAATCTATACTCTTCGAAATAATAGTTGCATGTAAAAAATCAACAAAAGTACACATTTATTGCAGTAATTAAGAAATACAGTATTACAATACAAAATTTGCACAAATTGTTGTTCAATTAACTGAGGAACCAATTATCCGAACACGCTTAATTGAATTTTACAGTATTAACGTATAATGATTTAAAAAAATCAATGTCAAATACAAATTACGCTTTCTCGCAGTTTTTCCTTAGCAATAAATATATGTTTTGAATTAGTAGAGGTCGCACCTAGTCTTTTTCACAAATTATGTCAAATATGTCTGTAAAAAATGGCAGATTTTTTTTCAATTATTATTATGCAATTAACCGGTGAAAAGTAAAAGGAAAAGTATTTTTGATGACATGAATTTTGAACCAATTAAGCGGGAAAATCAATTAACAGGGTTTAATAATCCGAGAAAATTTACATGTATTTCCCTATGAAATATTTTTTGCCCCATCATGTGGTTCAATTAAGCGTGGAAACCAATTAACCGTAGGGTCAATTAACCGAAAAATACTGTATAATGAGAGACAAGTTGTATGAAAAATACCTACAGTGGCGAGCAGAAACTAGTACATGATTGCACTTCGGACACTTGGAAAATATGTTTGAGAAACTATTTACCATTAAGTTTATATCAAAATTTTCAAAAATATTTTGCGCGTGATTGTAAAACTTATTTTACTGGTAACCCATTATGTGATGCAAGATTATTATTACAGGTTCACATTTAATGCCGACTCAAGTACCTAACATTAATTTTAAAAGCAGAAATATTAAGATAAAGCAGTATGTGTGGTATTTCAGTTCACCAATTTTTCCAAAAAACAAAAATTTTGTTGAAGGATTTTTAATTAGAATGCCATCTCGTCCATATCCAACAGTCCTTAAGTTTTTAATATTGAAATCTCTATATAACTCGCAATATTTTAGATTGGGTTTAGAAATGTTTAGTTTAGAAAGGTTTAGTGGTAAACAAATTCCTCCATACATATCCCCAAACTATTTTTAAGTGTAAAAAGTTTGGCGGACACCTTGATCTAAATTCAAATGTCAGTTGGATATATTACCTCTAATTCCTGACGAAAGGCTATTTTCTAATCGGATATGGGTAAACTCACATAAATTGCTGTTGAAATTTACATTTTGTAGCCCCGGACTGTCACCAACACTGCAAGAAAATATTACAGTTTTTGGAAAATATGAAAATAGCATTTAATTTTCAACAGTTTTGGTTCTTAACAATATAAGACAAAACGTGGAATATTTGACGGGAATACTAAAAATACGATTAATACTGTGTATCTAAAAACCTTCCCACTGTAATTACAAACAACCGAAAGAAAATGTGAATCAAATCGGTACAGTCGTTCTGAATGCACCACGGACATATTTTTCACAACATGCAAATATACATGTGGAACCCTGCTATTTGCCGGTACGCTTAATTTTTACATTCTAGTATAGAAGAAAATACGTAGAGATAAATGTCACTACCCTACAAATTGTTTCACATGTGATAACTTATATTTTCAAACTAAATAAATCTTGGTTCTATAGAAAACGCAAGCATACAATGATCGCGAATAATGTGGGAGTCTTACATATAGTTTTCTATTTTCAATTTCGTATTATTTAATTAAACTTTATTAAAAATATATAGGGGAGAGGGGGGCACCTTTGAACACTTTTTGCTCTCAAGCCTTATAAAATTTTTTATTTTTAAATTTTTGGTATCTTTAAATTTTAACTAATAGGTACATATGTAACCTTTAAAATGAATATACATATGACATACTTAAAGCTTGATAAATATATTTAATTTCTATTTTAATGGACGAAGTCAAAGTGTTCAAAACTGCCCCCCAGGGGGGCACCTTTGAACAAGGGTTGGTATTTTTTGAACGGCATGTTTTTTTACAGAGTTTATGTTCAAATATATATGTATTTTATTCATAGATATCAGAAATGCATTTATTTATTAAAAAATATATAAAAATATTCGAAGATTAAAAAATTCTGATCAAAATTTATTAAAACATAAAATGACTTAAAAACGAACATTTATATGGTGAAAAATACAGATAATTCCGTAATTTTATTAGCCCATTTTAAATTTTTGAGAAATCGAAGCCAAAAGTTAAAAACTCCGTTTTTTAATGGAGTTTACTGGGTATGTTCAAAGGTGCCCCACCTGTGGTATTTTACGGAAATTTATAATAACTTTTTTTGTAGAAAATATATATGAAAGAAAATACATTAGTTATGTTTGAAATAATTGTTGGAATGCAAAAAATTTGTTTAACGAAAGAAAACTATCACTGAATTCTTCCTGCGCCCTTACAACTAAAAGAATAAAAGTTTACAATGACACTGCGAAAACATGGTCACACATGCACAATTTGTCGACAACTGAAGAAGCTAGCCAAAGTGGTTTACGCAGATAGAGAACAAGATTGCCATATACAAAAATGTGGTCGCGGGTCGGAAAAATTTTAAACCAAGATTTTATGACCGCTGTTCAAAGGTGCCCCACGTTCAAAGGTGCCCCCCTCTCCCCTATTTATTTTCACATAGAATAATGTTTTAAGGGGACCCCCCCATTCTCGGGGTCAATTTTTTTTGATTTAATTTGATCCTACACTAATTCAAGAATGTCCCTACAAAATTTCAAGTGAAAATCTCAAGAACTCTTGAAAATATAGCCGATTTATTGTGTCAGCATCAAGTGACGGCTAAAGGGCTTCTCAAACTTAAAAAGCGTTTTTCTCTAAACATTTTTTTGCGAATGGCGGGCACGATA